TAATAAAAAAAATAATTTGAGTTTGATACTTCTAAAAATAACACAATACGTGTTGCGCTTGTATTTGGCGCCTTTTTTTTTACCTTTTTGTTTAAAAAGGTAAGTTTTATATAATATTAAATATACGTACGTTTCACGTATAACGTGATTGACTTAGAGTACTCCGTGCCCACGCATGTTATTCATAGCGACGCATTCATACTTTCCCTGATCTGTTACATCGGATTCGATAATCTGCAAGGCACCTGAAACTTAAAATGTGATATTCTCGAACAGCGTTCCTCTCAGGATTTTCTTGTCCAAAGAAAGATCAATGATGTGATCGCAGATCTCGTGTATGTCATGTCAAAATAGAGACAGTTTGAATTCAGCGTAATATGATTCTTGGAACGTAAATAATTATTGTGAAGTTTGAAGCGACTCTCTCTCTCTCAGGCATGCTTTGAAAACACGAGTTGTTTTTATTTTCAGCTAACGGACGACGCAGGCATTAACATTGATCGGCAAGGTGGGGGGTAACCGTGCCTTCCCGATTGTTTGTTTTCGTACGCTTATATATGACTCCGTGATTGCGGAAAGGACATTGCGCCTCGGGCCGACGAACGACGCGCATGCCGCGACGCAGAACAGTGTCGGTTAATACGCGTTTCTTTGTCCCCGAATCTCACTTGCATGAGTGTTAGAGCTAGAGTCAGTGTGTCGCCAGTGCTACGATGGAATATCCGGGGGTGCTGCGACGGAGTAACAAAAGGAGGACGTCGGATCGAGAAGTCAGGATGGAGAGAGGACTCGGAGCGCGCCGAGAGATGTAGCCGAGGACAGCGATACATCATGTATGGTATTCGAGGTACCTCGAATAATTATTATTACGCAGGATTTTTCTAATTTTAACGGACCTTACTCGAAGTAAGGACATACCCGAGTCGAAATTAGATCAGCATTCATAGTTTATCATCTGAAAAATAGCTTGAGATTTGATTATTCGTTAAACTAATTTCACGTAACATGAGTTCTACTTTTCTTTTCTCGTAAAATATGAATGTCTATTCAAGCAAGGTTGCTGAGGCAAGCTAAGGTTTATGAATACAAATTTTTAATTATGTTCTCAATGAAAAATTGCACATAATTTAAAAAAAACTATGAATAATGATCTTAGAATCTGATATAAATTTTACAAGTGTTGATTTTTATTCGTCTAATAATGCTCAGATTGCTGTTTTCGTTTAGAATCTGCTAGAATGTCCGTTTCTCATTCTTGTTTATCTTTCTTATTGTACCGAATCAGAATAAAAATCTCTATTAGTGAAACAGCATTATTAGACATAACCGTTGTCTTTTTGCAGCTTCAGCTCTTTTAAGAGCTACAATTCTCATCATTTTCATTAGAAAAAAGAAAAGAAAAAAAAAGAGAAGAAAAAAGGAAAAAAGAACTTTAAGAATGATGAGAATAAAAAGTGTTTTTCATCCCCTATTTCCTTTAATTCTTATATGATTATTTAATCCTTATATATTTATCTCACACGCAGTTCTAACAAAGGCATTTCTATTTACGTTTTTATCTTTGTTCTCTTTCTTGCGCTGTTAAGCGAATATATAATCAGAATCAACAAAAATTGCTCATTTAAATTAAGAATATAAGGATTAAGTACATATACATTATCGAAATAAACGAGTATTAAATAACTGCGGAATATGTCACTGTTGAAGACTCATCATGGGCGAGACTGCGAGAGTAGCCAGATGTAACGTTCAGGTAGGACAAAGCTTGTTCACTATTGCGCACCTAGATATTCTACATTGATTTTTCAAATTGGATGCAATTTGCAGGATCAATGTAGAATTAATATTTCGACTCGGGAAAGACTCGGGAATGAGAACGAATTGTCATTGCACTTGGACAATCTTCTAACACTGATTTCTGGTATTGATCGACATTCGATTTTCGGTACTGATTTACTCTTTCATTCCTCTACAAGAAAAAAAAATTGATACGACTCGTCCATTTAACCGCGTTAATTTGATGAATAAATTAAATATTGATCGGTCTTCAATTTTCGGTACTGATTTATTCTCTCTTTTCTTTTATAAGACAAGAAAAATTGATATGAATCATTCGTTTATTCGAGTTAATTTGTTGAATAAGATTAGAGAGGTAAGTACCTGAAAAATGAGAACAAATTGTCATTGCATTTGGGCAATTTTTTAACGCTGATTTATAGTATTAATCAATATCCGGTTTTCGATACTGATTTAGTCTTTGATTTCTCTATAAAAGAAAAAAAGATTGATACATATTGTTCATTTATTCGCGTTAATTTGATGAAAAAATTAGATATTGAACGGTCTTTGATCTTTTTTCTATTGATTTATTTTCTCATTATTTTACAAGACAAAAAAAATTTATACGAATCGTTCGTTACCCGAGTTAATTTGTTGAATGAAATTAGAGGGGTAAATACCTGTAAAATGAGAACAAATTGTCATTGCACTTGGACAATTTTCTGACATTGATTTATGGTATTAATCGGTATTCGATTTTCGATACTGATTTACTCTTTCATTGCTCTATAAGAAAAGGAAAAATTGATATGAATCGTTCATTTATCCGCGTTAACTTTTTTTTTATTATATATAAGTGGTCCATAGGACGATTAAATATTCGAATACATGTTGCCGTATCAAAGTCTCTTCTATAATATACGATTTGACACGTCTGGGGACGCATGATGTATCGTTGCCCGCATCCCATTCCCTTCGTCCTACTTTTTTGTATAAAATGTCGAATTGAAACGTATTAAAAAGTATTGACATTTTGAATATGTCTGATTTTTGAATCTTTTTGATCTGAAGAAAAGGATTGAAAAATATTAGTTTCCATTAAATTTTACTGCGCTAAATGCGAGACGGTCTCTTTCACCCGAGTGCCTCACCAGGGAAATTTCTCTGGTACGCTAAATCCCGTAAGGTCATCAGTCTTTGTAGTATATCTCGTCGGTGCATAAGGTTTATATTACCTGTACATACATATTTTGAAACATTTTCTTTGGATATTATATCAAACGGATTTTGCTTGTCACGTAATATCCTTCGGACTACACGGACATTATTATTTTGATCAATTTGATTTCTTTGGTATTCATTGAATTATCCAGAACGCGCAACTGCCATGTTGAACGACTCAATTGTCGTGTGAAATGTTTCGATTTTCACAAATTCATATAAAATTTTTCATTTTTCACTGATTCACAGAAGCCTTTCACTTTTTATTAGTTCACGCTAGGGAAAAGATTCATGATCGCTGCCCTGAACAACTGCAACGCTTTTCGAATCATCTATGTCGGCGCGCTGTTACTCCTCAGATTTCTGTCATTAATAACTCGATAATTATTGCGAATCTCGCAAAATGGTATGGGACTTTTATGTTTGTCTCAACTCAATCTACCCTCACACTTCGGGTTGGCAGCTAATTACCGGACACTTCATATGATCTTCATGATATTAATCATACACAATGTCAATTCTTTTTTTTGTACATGTTAACATGTTAATTCATGTTATAAACGCGTAACAATGTGCGAGACCGTGCTCTTCAAATATGCTATTATGGTTGTAGCACGAACATAAACCGCCTAAAAATGGATGTAGCACGGACTGCCACCACATACAGGTTTTACCGCCGAAACCTGAATGTGAATGTAGCCTCGTAGTTCCCCTCTCAAAATGGATGCAGATGGCGACTTTTCCCAGTGCGAAAAATCGGTGTCGTCGAAAATACCGTGTTGGCCGCTCTCACGTTCCTTTCTGGTCAGACCTTATATTTAAGACTTCCTTAAGTTCCTTCCTTAAGTTATCTTCAGATGGTCTGAAGCCAATAAAATAATCCGTGCAGCATCTAAAGATGGATATAAGGAGGTCTCAAATATAAGGCCTGACTATGAATACGGGTATTAAGCCTTAAGAAATTGGCTAACCTTATTCAATTATTCTTGTAAAAATCGATTAGGATTGGTTAATTTCTTAAGGCTTAAAGCTTACTACACCTATTGTAGACCCGGCTTTATACCCTTATTCATAGACTACGTTTACACGGCTTCTAAAGTCAGCGGCACATGGTGCTTGATTTCGTGCTGGATTGCTTGCTAAATGAAAATACTGCATTCTGATTGGTGCATTTCCGAAGATGGATGGAAATGCACCAATCAGAACGCAGTATTTTCATCCAGCAAGCAATCCAGCACGAAAACAAGTACCGTGTGCCGCTGGCTTTAACTTCGATTTAATAACGCTAAAGGCTCGTCTACAATAGCTGTAAGAGTAAAGGCTCGTCTACATTAGCTGTAAGAGTAAGACTGTAAGGCTATAACGTAAGCTGTCAGCGAATGAAAATATTTCATTTCGTGTCTTGCAACCTTACAGTCTTACTCTTACAGCTATTGTAGACGAGCCTTAAGGGCAAGAGCACAGGCTTTTGCATAACGCATAATACACAACGCATAAGAGAATAAACCAATTAGTTTTCTTCATTTCCCTCCTCAGGATAGAAATAAAGAACTCTGGTTGATTCTCTTATGCGTTGTGTATTATGCAGAAGTCTGTGCTCTGGCCTTTTGGTTGTAGGTATAAGCAGTAAAAAATGGACCAACAATAATAGATTATTCTTATAATAATCGATTGTGGTTGATCTATTTCTTACTGCTTACGCCTAGAACCTTAGGTCCCTTGCACAATACCAGGCAACAAGCAATAAGAATAAAAATAGACCAATCACAATCGACTATTTACAAGAATAATCTATTGTGATTGGTCTATGAGCCGTATTCATAATCCGGTCTTATATTTAAGATCGTCTTAAGTTCATCTTCAGATGCTGTATAGATCATTTCATTGGTTACAGAATATCTGAACGTGAACTCAAGACGGTCTTAAATATAAGATCCGACTATGAATACGGCCCTATTTTTATTCTTATTGCCTGGCATTGTGCAAGGGGCTATATTCTTGCAGCCATTGTAGATGGGCCTTTAGACCAAGCGCTTGATAAATGACAGAATTTGAGATCTGGGATTCCTCACTTAGTCGATGAAGGCGCGGCGCGACACATCTTGGCTATCAGTCTGAAGTTAGCTACTGGCGTTCCATATTTCCATAGTCAAAGGTGCCTTTATATATTACAGAATAACAAATGCATAAATATATCTATAAGATTGCTGAGTACTAAGTTATTTTTTTTATTTTACAGACTGATAAATATGTCTGCATTGGAAGAAAAATATAATTTAGATACCACAGAAACACATGCTATGGCTGATATTAAATCTACAGTAGAAAATCAACATACAACAGAAAAAAAGATACCATGTATAATTGTACTTGGGATGGCTGGTTCTGGGAAAACAACATTTGTGCAGAGGCTAGTATCTAAATTGTATAATGATACAAAGCCATATGTCATTAATCTAGATCCTGCCTGTAAAGAGGTTCCATATCCTGCTAACATAGGTACCTAGAGAATTGTTATACAAGAATTATGCTACATTCAATAGTAAATATAATACAGTGAATATGTTATATTTGATTGTTTTGAAGAAAACTATATTTCTTTTCAGACATAAGGGATACTGTAAATTACAAAGAAGTGATGAAACAATATAAGCTTGGCCCAAATGGTGGCATAGTTACAACATTAAATCTGTTTTCTACAAAGTTTGATCAAGTAATTGAGCTTATTGAAAAAGCTAGTGAGGAGCATAGTTATGTGATTTTAGACACACCTGGACAGATTGAAGTATTCACATGGTCAGCCAGTGGGACAATTATAACAGAAGGATTAGCTTCTCAATTTCCAACTATAATTGTATATGTAGTGGACAGTGTAAGAAGCGTTAATCCAGTTACATTCATGTCCAATATGTTGTATGCTTGTTCTATACTTTATAAAACCAGATTGCCTTTTATTGTAGTTATGAACAAGGTATGGTTAAAATTTTAATACTCATGTTTATAATATACACATATAACTTTTGATTATATACAATCAATTGAATGCGAAATTAATACATTTTAGACTGATATTGTTGACCATCATTATGCAGTTAATTGGATGCGTGATTTTGAAGCTTTTGAAGAAGCAGTTGACATGGAAACCTCTTATGTCAGTAATTTGACACGTAGTATGTCACTTACACTTGATGAGTTTTATAAAAATTTGCAATGCTGTGGTGTTTCTTCAGTAACAGGAGCTGGATTTAATGATTTTCTTGAGTTGGTTAAAGATGCTGTAGAAAAGTATGAAACGTAAGTGTTGCTATTTATTTTAAAAACAGATTGTTACATTACTTAGTTGATAATGCATTATATCATCTCTTATAACAAAAATATCAATATAGCTTATTTCTTTCTTAAAGTGATTACAGAAAAGATTTTGAAAAAATGAAGAAGATAAGACAGGCTCAACGAAAAAAGACAAAAGATGAACAATTAGAGAATGCTAGTAAAGATGTAGCAGGTGAAAATGTACCTCTTGTGACAACTGTCAACACTGGTTGTGAAATCTCAGACGTCTACTTAAAGCATCCAGGTAATGAATCAAGTGAAGATGAAGATGGAACAGAAGAAATAAACAGGCGAAAGGAAGAGGATGAAGAAAAAGAAGAAGAATCTTTTACAGATTTCCTCAAAAGACGTAATATTCAACAGAATGCACGAGAAAACAAGCATCAATCTGATCCTAGTACAAGTAAAACTTAATAACCATGTAACTTGCATAATAACTAACTTCATGTATATAATTTTTCATATAAATAAATTTATACGAAAAGATACAATCTTCACATTAGTATGTTTAATTTATATAAAACAAAGTTCTAGAGTTTTTTACATCAGTCTGTTGTAAAACAAAATATTTTAAGCTTTATAGATATCACTTCATAAAGTATAATTAGACATTATTGTATTTACACAGAATTTTTGGTCTTGTTTAATATTTTAAGTATCATATAATCAATAATTCTATAATTATTTTTAAAACGATATCGAAAGTTCCATGTCTTTTTAACATAATTAAGTTAAATATATTAAACTAGTATTTTATATTTATAATGGAATCTATGATTCAAAATACAAAATATCGCATAACTGAAAACTCCATGTCTTTATGTTAGCAATGCAAATATTGTCTGAGCATTAAAACAAATAGTTCTAAGACAACTTCAATAATTATTTCGGATTCTATTTGCAAGTCTTATTTGTCCAATGTAATAATACGCCAAGATGAGATTTTTTCATGTTCGAATGATGCATTGATTGAGGGAGAGAATGTTGAATATTTCGTATTCCTCTCTATAGTGGGCCTCCAATTTGGAATTTTGTTGAATCTGATCTTGTGCAAGCTTGCAACTGAAACATATGCGATCGTTAACATTGAAACATCATTAATGTTATCAAAATTTGTAACAAAGTTTATCTGAATAATTATTATCCGTCACTTCTACCAAAGTATCAATATATAAAACAATGTATCAACAATTCAAATGATGTAATTGTTGTATAAGGTTTAATGAGTCAAAGCAGGATTGTATGAATGAATCACATACCAAGTTTAGGTCAGATTTTCATAGGTTTATACCATAGAAAGAAACCATTGTCTTGAATTTGTTCCAAATTTTTGTTTTAATCTATTCATTAAATATAACAATTTGTTGCATTGCTATTTTTATTGCTTATATCAATTGTCCATAATTAATTTGTAAATGATTTTTCATTAATGCATTGAATATTCAAATTATATCAAACTGATTAAAAGATTTTATCTCATATATTTAACTTTTATATTAATAAACAAAACAAGATGAACAACTCTTTTGTATAATACACCACAGCAGATAATTAAGTAGCCTAATAGCTTTAAGTAGCCAATATTCTATGACACCTGTATCCTGGGACTTTATCCTTTTCAGATTATTATGCTTCATTATTATCAATCTTTCTTCTTGTTTCTGTCGATATTCCTGAGTAATCTGCTCCAAAGTTTTAGTTAAAGCCAACTGTTGAAAATTATATTAATCTGGGTTACATAAATTTATATGTAATAATTATATTATTATATTTCATATCTATGATTATATGAATATGTATAAAACGTTTTTAAAATTATTTTACACTAATATATATGTTAATGATGTAGCAAAACTATTAGAAATAGGCGATATCATAACAATACCTGACACATCTTCAAGCGGGAGACGTAGTTGATCCTCAATCCTGGAGTATCTTCCGCACTTTTGGTAGCGTCGTGTTGGAAACATTTACCCTTGCTGCCGCTGGCCTTCCGGCAAACCTTGGATAGCAGGTCCGTGCGATCGGTGCGAAAACTGTCGTGCAGAAACTCGTGGACGTGTGGATTATGGGAGTTGCAAATCGGGTCGCGGCTGTGCGCGTACGTCACTTTGCGAAAGCCGTAGAGATTCAATTGCCTGATGAAACTCGTGATGTTGGTTGTCTTGAAGATGGGCCGTTGTGCGTCCAGATACTCTGTTTGGAATCTTTTGTAATCGAGCAGTATGGTATCGCCGTTCGCGCCCCATCGGATTGCGCCGGTCTTGCACTCGTTCACGATCTTCCAAAGCTTTTGCGGGAACCGCATCGATTGCAACACACAATCTTCGTACATTCTTCTTCACCGTCGTCGTCGTCGTTGTCTCGTAGTCGCGGCGGCAACGCGTCCGCCAAGAAATCGTTCGGTTCGAACGTGAATTTGAGAATGTTTCGAACGTGTCTGGCCGCGTCGTGTATCGTTGCACGCGTAACTCGCTCGATCCTGCCTCGAAACAAACAACTTTCGACACAAGAGACTGTCGTCGTGTAATAGACGACAATAATCCTGGTGATTTGCAGGAAAAGAGCCGAGAGCGTCGATCCCTCCAGCGTCTAAGAATCCGTTGATTCTTGATACTTGATGCTGCATTGTTTCGCAATTCGTTCTTCGCATCCTGTTTCAGTTCTATCCTACTTCCGTGATCCGAAAAAATCGGTTCGCTGCCAATTGGCGTCATGTCTATAGTAGTTTCGTCTCCATGGAATTAAAATTCGATGTATGTAAATCGTGACTAGTTCACTTTGCTGCATGCTTCAAGAAGTCGCGAGTTCGTACTAAAAATCTTAATAATCGTTCATGGGTGCATTTCACGCGCATTTCTTCGACATATCCGTCGAATATTCGACGTTCAAAATAGAGATGTTTGAAAGGTACGTGTTACATATAGAATATCTTTCATATATAAATCTTTTTCTTTTGTTCGCTTCCATCAATTTCTTCTTCTAGCGAGTTTCAAGTCGTGTCAAGAAAAGGGAAGATACAAGATAAAATTATCGAGCTTCTTAAGCTTTTAATAGAAATTACAGTTACAATACTATTACAATTACTAATATATTACAATTACCATATCAAAAACGTATGCGTAAACTAGTTTTAAAACGCCTTCCCTACTCGCTCTTTTTACAAGTCTTATTCTATGGACTTTGCAAGGTTAGGTACGTATATCGATATAAGATCGCAGATATGAAATTTTGCGTATGTGCGTCTTCATCAATTTGGAGAATTTACCAAATTATCGAAATTATGATATATTTTTGGAAACATCAGTAATAGTAGAAAATACGTGAAAATAATTCTAATATAAAGTCGATATTAATACTATCTCATGGGCATCTGAAAGCTTCAGTGTTTCAAGCTTTCATATTCCTGACATAACGAGTTTACATTTATCGAAAACTTAACGAAAATTGGATCGTTATCGCACCGAGAAAAATATCCGAAATATCCGATTATTAGTTTCGTCCGATAATACATCGTTCGAAATATATCGGACATTTGATCGGATAATAAAGTTAACAATTGGACGTTTTGGATATTTCTCTCAGTGCACGAAGATCGAAGTAGCGTAAGCATACATTTGTACCATGATATTAGTTCCGAGGTTTCCAGTTTATTAATCGACCAACCAATGCATTAACATGGACGATGATCAACTGATTAAAACGAATTGCTCCGGAGTCGATTTTCTTTTCGCGCCCTAGCTCAATATTCTTCACGAATTAGATTACGGCTTCCAGACACGGAAAGTCGATTCTGAACATATCGATCAACATCTGCCGCGAAAATTTGGCTGTATTTTCGGACAGATATCAATATGTTTGTTTCTGCCGAACAACGCGACCCAGTCAGAATCATAACGTTGATTCGACGTCGATGAGGATTGAATTAACGTTGATTCAACGTTTCAGCGATATCCAATATCAACGTCAAATCAACGTTATGGTTCTGACTGGGGACGAGACGAGAGAGAGAGAGAGAGAGAGAGAGAGAGAGAGAGAGAGAGAGAGAGAGAACTACGTGCCTCATATTCTGAACTTTTCAGCTGGCGGCACCGTGAACCGACGAGGACGATCTCACAATCGGAGTATCGCGAGTGTTCTTTACCTCACTCGAGCAGTTCGATTCGTCTCACACTTCTTCAGTTTCTTTCGCGCGTATACATCGCGTGCACCCTTGCACTCGCGTTCACTTCAGGAGTCAAAGTTCACACGATTTTGTCATCGCATGTATAGCATCAATCAGACAGCATCGGAAGAGTTTGCAGATACTCATGAGGAATCGCAGGGGCAGGAAGCAGATAACCGTCTGGGTCCAAGACATCCGGGGTACGTATTGTTACCGGTCCTTGAGGCGGTCTGGGCAACGTCCCTTGTTGGATCAGTTTACTCTGCGCCTTCTCCAACCTTTCCAGAATATCAGGGAACTTGATGCGATCCTGCGGCTTGCTCTTCCAGCAGTCTCGCATTATTTGGCAAACAATAGGCGGACACTCGTCAGGTGGTATCAAGACGGTTCCTTGACGTATGAGTTTCAACACCTGAAACGAGAATACGCGTTTCGTGTCTGTTGCAAGAGGTCTGAGGCGCACCAGGAGTCGGAGTTTCATCGGAGTCGCTCACCTCTTCGTTGCTATGGCCGTAATAGGGTATCTTCCCGAAGGAGAAGACTTCCCAGAGAACGACGCCGAAACTCCAAACGTCGGTTTCGAGGGTGAATCGCCCGTACATCACACTCTCCGGTGACATCCATCGAACCGGAAGTAGACGCGTCCCTCCGATCTGAAAGGCACGGTTTCCGCACAAGGTCAGTGCGGACTTTTACATTGGGAATGTCGCGATCGTCGCTTTGTCTTTGTGAACGAGTGTACCTTGTAGTAGTCGCACGTGTAAACGTCTCGCGACATGCCGAAATCGGCGATTTTCACTATCAGGTCCGAGCCGACGAGACAGTTTCGGCATGCCAGGTCGCGGTGCACGAATCGCTGCGCCGACAGATAAGTCATGCCGGCCGCGATTTGGATCGATATCCAGTGTAGGGAATCCTGCGGGAGAGAGAAAAAAGGAAGATTATCTTTACCAGTGAAACCTCGCTGTTAGTCACGCTTACGCGATATTTTTACTCTGAACTAACAAGCGGTAAAGTAATGAACGGTAATTTGTAATTTCTTACAAAAATTGCTCAAGTTCTCACGTAATGCTCTATACTTCTACCAACGAATGTTGAACAAGATTAAAAGAAATAGTTTAGTAATAAGTTAATACACATTCGTTCTTGCAGATGTTTTTTTCGAAAGCTTGTCATCTCGACCGCTCCCCGATGAAAACAGGTCGCGTTAATTGGCTCTAGTGTGAACGTTTGAAGCATGCACGGTGTCGTAAAAAGAGTCGTTAATTGGTTGTCGATCGCACGGTACGATACCATCGTCAACAACTGTAGTCCGTAGCTCGGCGATCTCAATTGCCGTGAATTCGCTCGCAGCACTTTGGCGAGGTCACCATGCGGCATGTACTCGAAGACCATGCACGGGCTGCTGCATGCATCGCGCAGCACCACCCCCTCCAGCGACAAGATGTTCGTGTGGCTGAACGTGGACATGATGTCCACTTCTCGCATGAAGTCCTCTTCGGTTTCGCGCGTCGCCGTATCCTTCAGCACCTTCACGGCGACAATCTCCTTCGTGTCTCCGTTGTGCCATTCACCTGCAACGTTTTCATCGCGAGAGAGATCTAACGACGTGTCGAACGACCAGCGAAACTGCACAACTGCTCGATCGTATGGCTCGGCTCATACCTTTGTAGACCTTGCCGAAGCATCCTTCGCCGATGTCTTCCAAGAAGACGAGGCTGTCGCGTTGTATGATTGAGACCTCCGGCGAAGTGCAGGTGAAGTACTGAGGATTCGGCGTGTATTTATTCGGTAACAGCAGGCCTTTCTTCAGGTTTATCGGAGTGCCCTAATGAAAGACGATGATAACGAGACGGTAAGAATTATTGGGACACGGTTGTTAATCTCAGTATGTGCAGAAAAAATGGAAAGCTACGGTAATGAAGATAGAGAAAGAGATAAAAATGACCTCAAAAAGATCATCTTCCTCTCGAATGTCGTCCATAGGTCAACCATAGGGTGAATATCTTAGGGGAAACATTATCTCGATGGGAAATAACTTACATCGAGAGAATTTTTCTGCGACTTGACGCTGTAACTCCGTCTTTTTACGCAGTATACGATGCCCAGTATAATCATGATCACTACGGCGAAAGCTACAGCTATCCCTATTATTTCAGGTACTTTGGGCCTCAGACCTTCCACCTGTTGCGACAATTGTGATTGATCCTCTTACGTTCAATTGCAACTAATCATCGAATTTTAATTAATATCACTGAGCGATCTTTAAATATCTCTTTAACAAACACTAATCTTACGCTAAATTTTATTGACTCTAGTCTAAATTTTCTTATTATTTTATTTTGTATTTCTTCCTTTTTTATAAATCTCTTCTTTCATAATTTGACTAGTAGATAGTTGATGAGTGGAAAAAGTACCTCTTCAGCCTCCGGGAGTCCAGTCGTACTGTTCGTACCGTTGATTTTAGGTGGTATTATGTTATGTATAGGGCGAGGCATTGGAGGAACTATGGGAAAATTTTTGAGTTATTCTTCAAATATGCGTCAAAAACAATGTTGATAGTCCGGCTTAAACTCTACTGCTGGCTGCTTGCAAAATAGATGAAGCTTTACCGATTGATCGTATCGGACACTTCAGGTCCGCTGTAGGTGGAGACGCATCGTGAGGACACACGCAATCCGATGTATTCCCCAGGATGCGGCAGGCCGCCTCCATACCGCAAATATCCGGATTGTCCTTGCATCCTTCGATCTTGACGAGTTTGTCAGTTATTTGCAGCAACAGCTCCGACTGCTGCTGATCGACCGTCCCGCTTAGCGATGATTCTGCAGTAATATTACCGAGATCAGAGCAATCGCAACTTCATGTGCATCCGGCGCATCGTAGGTTCCAGCTTCTGCCGGTGCAGAAACCGTCGCTCGGCGAATCAAATATATGCGCGGTAAATGTTTATTCCCTATTCTAACAGAACGTAAAAAAAATAACACAAAAGGGCACGATATGTTTCATTTCCAACAGACTTGCGATACGATCGATACATCTCTCTGCAAGAACGTAAAGGGTTGCGGCGATAATCTAATCGTCTCTCGTTTCCATCATGAGAAACGACCAAAAAAGGATACTTCTAAGGAACAAAGTGAGCGATATTCCTTATTTCTGAGTTACAACCACATTAAGTCGAAAAAAGAACGCACGTGAACAAATACAACATGTGTCATGTGGCTTTTCTTGTTTCTAGCACGAGGGTTTCACGGCGGACGCGCGGGATCTTCGCCGGCGGCGGCGGTGGCGGTGATGGCGATGCGCCGGCGAGCAAAGAGAGATGCTCTCGGATTCGCAGGACCATCGCAAACGGACTGTAAAGGGCAGCCAGGGAGGAAAAAGGGCTACATATTTGGATTGGGCACAGGAAGATAGAGACAGTGAAGGCATTCATTTGGTACTTGGAGCTTGCAACGGGTCAAAGCGTTATCTCTGCGGTCAGCGCTCCCCGACAACGAGTCTTGCTATGTGTACCTATTATCGCCCCGTATTCCTTCGCCTTCCAAAGTATCTCCGCGAGATTTCCCGTATTTACGAGATCGTCCGTTTTTACGCGCGCGCGCGTGCACGATTGACAGGGACGTTTCGACGATGAGCTCCCCGTCGCCGAAGTCGTCCTCGTAGTTTCCCGGTGCAGCGGCGGAACACAATTATATCTCGAGGCCAACACGTGCGGCTGCAACTCGAGCTTTCGTGAACGTGTGACGGAGACGTGTCACCAGCAAGGAGGCTAGTCCTCCCCTTCTTCGTCGTGACACACGTCGAAGTACTTGTACAAGCTTGCTGTGCGGGAAGAAGCTCGCAGATACAGTGCGGATAGATCGCGACGGTGATCGATTCCTACGATTCGTTAAGTTTCACGCCGACGATACAACCGCCGCTGCACCGCAATCAATTATCCCGCCGCCGCCGCGGATATCGCGATTTTCGCATTTACGCTGTATTATTGCTGACCTCTGCTCTTTGCCATTATATGCGCGACATAGAAACCACTATTGGCTCCGCTGACTGACCCTCGATAGCACGAGTAACGCGTAGTAAAGTCAGTCGAAGAATGATTGTTTTGGTCGACGCCTTTCTCGGCGAGGAGACACCCGCGCGTGCTGAGCGATTATGATGTAGCGCGAAATCATCGCGAGAACGACGATAATTTTCCGGCTTGAAACGCTCCGAGCGTTTCGGATTGCCGAGGGGCAATCGCCTCGAGGCCGGGGGAAAGTCGGTTTCGCGTTAAAATTAAGACGAGTCCCGGGAGACGCTTCGTGCATAAATATTGAATTCGAGAGCCAGCCGGGGGATATCTCGGCCGATGATGGCCGTTTTATCGGACGGAAAACTCTGACGGGTGCTTTCCGTTTGATAAAAAAGCAACAGATGGTAGCGACATTCGATCCTAATTGAATCGGACATATCGCCGTCCGATTGTTTTCGTTGGTTGATGGTAAATTTGGAAAGTTCGATGCGACCACGTGCGCCGAGTTGCTCGGTTTATTTGCAAATCCGAGCTTTAGGCCAAAGGCTACAATGGGGGCATTATGCGCGCGCGGGCGCCTCATCCTGCCTAAACTGTGTGATTCATGGAGGAGCCGAGAAGGAGAGAGAGATATAGAGGAGTATAGTGAGTGAGAGAGAGAGAGAGAGAGAGAGAGAGAGAGAGAGAGAAAAAGATCGATAAATCAGGAGGTGTTGGCGAAACAATACGTAGATACCAAATATGTACAGACCATTTCGAGGCCGGATTTTTGTGTGATTATCGTTAGTAGCGCTATATTTAAATCCGAGATAAAATTCTTCCGACGTCCGTTATCGTGCGTATCGTTATCGCCTTGAATCTCGAATTCCTTCGAGGGTAGGTACGGATATTATAGATAGTGATAGTGGACAAAAAAAGGGTCGGCCTTCACTTTTTCCGCTGAAGAGAAATGTTCGACATGTGCTCATGACATAAGTCAGTCGAGCCGCCGCCGTTAATCTCGTCGACTTGTTATGCGTCTCCTCATCGACGATAAGTTTCTCCGTTTTTACGTGTTCGATGTGTGAAACGTCTTCGCTGTCGTTTCGGTCGTTACCGCCAGTTGAGCAGTTCCTTATCGCGAGCGATGAATATAATTTGTAAAATTATATTATATCGTTATCAGCCTGCTGGATTCGCGATATATACTGCGCACAAATTACTACGGCCTTAATTAAATTTTACACACATTAGATGACTCTTGATCGTTCCGCGAACCTATTAACTTAATGAGGAGGGGGAACAAGCCACCGTGTGTATTCGGATTCCTCGGGAGAATCTTCGATTCTCAGCGTGAGCTACAACGCGTCTGCGAAAACAAGTCTCGGGAACAACAATATAATCGCAATGGAGGAGCAATCGAAGAGATTATACGTTTTCCGTCAATAGCGCTAATTTCATCGCGAGCATTACAAGGCCGCGGAAGCATATCGAATCGACGAGGCAAAAAGATCGAGGGAAAAATGTTCGTCGGCAGAAACAAAACGCCGTTCTCTCTCACCTGTTCGCGTCCTCAGGGAGAAGGGGTCTCTTCTTCGCGGCATTCTTCGTTGCGACATCGCGCGCGTGCTCGTAGGTAAACAGCCGATAAACGGACGAAACCACCCTCCGGCCACCGCAGGAAACAATTCCCCGCACTTCGTTTGTTACACTTTACACACGCTCCCTCTCTCGCTGTCCTTTTTTCTTTCGCTACGAGGTGCCAATTACCATCGACGCGCTAAGTGCATCGGATATTACCTCTAGCGAGAGAAAGAGCAAGAGGAGGAAAAGGAAGAGGCATCGCTGCCCCGTCGACAAGCACCATGGGCCTCGGGCCTGTCTGTGAGCGGAGGTCTTATTAAAATCCTGAATTGCCTTGGACGACCGCCTCGGATCATCGCGAGACGTTGATAAAGCACCGCGTCGCTCACGTTATCACGTGTGATGCGCTAACAGTTCGTCGACACGGAGGTGTCTCTTCACATCTTCATCCTCGTCGCATCCTAATCCGCTCAAGCCCGCGAAACGTTGTCCTTGGAGAATCTCCGTCGCGAGCCGTCGTGGTCCCGACCGAGGTCGATCCCGCAATAACGTCGGCTCATACTGCCGTGGCTGGTGAACGGAAATCTTTTGAGCACGCCCTTGAGGATAACGACGTTGTAGGTGGATGTTAAAACTTTAAGCCGGAAGCCGAAATCTCGTGTGGCCGGCCCAGGGTGACTCGGCGAGGGAGACGGCGGCGTGTAGGAGGAGACAGAAGGAGTGAGATGTATTCTCACTTCGATGAATGCTTAACCGAAACTGAAGACCGCCTTCGAGACTCCCTCGCTTCGCTACGCGCACCAAGCATCGGCGATCTCGTGCATATGTGTTTGTGTGCGTATATATGTGTGTACATGTATACCCATATACTGCGTTGGTGCGTACGCGCGATCATATACACGTGTACGCATACGAGAGTTTAACTCGGTTCATCATCTCTCTCGTATCTGCTCGACCTACGCTATCGTCAGAAAAAAAAAGGAGATAAAGAGAGCCGACGATGGCTCCTGTAGACCTACGGATTTATTAAGGGAAGGTATTTTCCGGTGTCTCGGCTGCTTCCTTACCTGCATCAAACGCAATCGCGGCCACCTACGTTATCGCGTAAATGAGCCTCTCGAAAAGGTCTCAGCTTTCGCGAAAATCTCGGGCGAGTTGCATCGCGAGATCGCGCGCGTTCACAACTTTGGAGCCGAGAAAAATGTTGAAAACTTTATCTGAAGACGGCAGTTACGTCGTGCGGTTGAGCACAGAACGGTAGATGCGCGTGTTGTCCTATCAATATGTTTGCTTTGCTTGTGTAGCGCGCGCCGACGTTATCAACAATTTATCGTTTATTTATTTTCAACGCAACAATATGTGCAGATATCGGTTGTTTATCTTTCAATGAATTCGAAGAGCACACACGTACGTCACGGCTGAGTCAGATCCTTATCGGAATAATCAGGATAATCGTAATCGTTGCGATTGACGCTTTTTAATCCAAAAGTTCAATGACGGTTGCTCACGGTTCGAGAATTGAATCATCGGACACACGTCAGCGGGAAAGTACGTCGCGACTTGGGAATTTCGCGTACCTCAGCCACTTTTTCGCGCGATTTTGCACTTCGACGATAATTTCTTTTTTCATAGACGGAAAACGAGCAGAGCGTGCGTTTCCTCGAGTCGAGCATCGTTTATTCATCTTTTTTCCCCCACGTAGCGAGTCGCGTAAATGAAAAATTTGATGTTCGCTATCGCGATCAGCTTGATACATTATTGCCTAACGAAGCGCCGTCCCCACTCCCTTTTACTCTTGGAGAACAACTCGACTTTTCAGCTTCCGATCATGATAAACAAGTCGACTGCGGCTTACGAGAACACGACTGTTCGTACAGAAGTCGTGTGCGCGCGGTCGCTAAATGTGTGTATTCGTGTCTCAATAAATGCGTATCTGCTGTACACACATATGCGCCCGAAACTCGTAATTGCATTCAATGTTGATGCAGCGTACCTCCGAGTAGCGATCGCCCGAAAAAGTCACCGTTGTCTCGGTGAATTATCGTCGAGCGCGATAACAGGATTGCGAATCATCAAAATCCAGGCGGTCAATGAGGATTCTTGTTTATCTCCGTGATATAGGAAAGCTAATTGATTATAATTATAGGTGACCTTGTGAGTCACTGCGATCTCTAGTCGACGAACTACGTCGACGTTTGACTACGCCTTGAAAAGTCGAGCCGCTTCAATCGGAGGATTAATAAATCCCTCACTTGGTTTCGAAACGCGTCAAGGCGAATGCATTTGGCTTAACTGGATAAATGACATCAATATCTCTGAAACACGAAGAAACAGGAAAAAAAGTTTATAAGGCTTAACGTCTCGTAGTTCAAATTTTGCAACTTAAGATTTAAATTAAAAACATTTTATAATTGGATATATTCGGTCTTACTCTGTTTCTCGAAGAAACAGATTTCTTCTTCGATTCTCTTTGCGAATAAATTGTAATTTTCACGATTTGCGTACCGATGATTTATTCCTCGCGATGAATAGCGACGGCTCGACGAAGAGAATGCTGTTTCCGTGAATCATTCCGTACGTTTGGGCCCGAAATAATCCTGAGGATCATCATTAAGATATTAACGCGCGGGATTGATGTCGTTTCCGTTCTCGTGGAATCGCGACAACCTTCTCCTCCTCGTTTTAGCCGGGGATCTGCGGGTCTTTAATACCGCGTGTAGTTTACAGTTTCGAGAGATCAAAACACGCGCGCAAGTAAACGAGAAATAGGTCGAAAAACAAAGGTCGAGGGGGTCGGGGACCAAGGGGGACACGTTAATAGTTTCCGAAGAGCCTCCGTCGGAATGGCGTAAGTGTTGTATATTTACACTGGCGTTACAAGCTCACACCTGGACGCAAGAATAGCGCCGGGGTTCTTCTTCTTCTTCTACTTCCACGAAGTATTTTCTCGCTCCATACATCAGGCCGTCCGTTTGACAAAAGCGATCGCCCATATTTCCGTCTAGATGCATTAAATGCACGGTTATTTCCGTAGTATACCGGGTTTTGTATCTGCATGGATGACAAATGTACCTTAAATATTGATTGAGAGACACATCCTCGTATGACGATAATAGATAGTAGACGATAGTAAGACGATAATAGAAGATGCATGATAAGACGCTCATCATATTTAAATTGAATAGTCGGTAATTATAATGGAGATAAGCTAATGCGCTTCTTCAGAGTCGCGAAAGTAGATCTATGAATAGAGTTTTTCATATTTTGAAGTTGAATAAGAACCTTCTGCCCGAGAAATATCGTTTTAATCGCTTGAGGACTGATTGAATTATCCGATTCTTTGAACCGTCATGAGTGCTTCCTTGTGACTCTACGAAAGACGATCTGCGGCTGCCGTGGAATTAAATGGGTGACATTTTCGTCTTTATATAGCCGCAACTCCGAAAAGGGAAGCCCTTCGTTCTGTGTTGATGCACCGGGAGAAGGGAAAGATGTGCGCAGGGTGGTTCACACCCGTCGAACGTTGCGAATTGTCGTCCGCGTTCGACAGCCGAGCGACGTAAAGCGTCAGCGTGCGTGCAGATGGTGGGCCGTAAGAGAGGGTGGTCTAAAAAAATAAAGCGGCAAGCACGAAGACGGGTGTTGTTTGTGTTTCCACGCGAGATGGGTGATTCTTAAATGACAGGAGACAACTGGAATAACTTATATTTCGGAACAATACTCCGTGGAAATCGGAAACGATGAAAAAAACGTACCCTCATGAGGGATCAGCTACAAAAAGTCGGAGACCCGAAGGGTTCTAAAGATATCCTGACAGATAAATATATGTGTCGAGTATGTAATATATATCGTAAGAATCGTCTATCGCGATGACACGCTCGGAAGAGCTGAAAAACAAATAAAGAGCCAGCCTTTAAGCATTTAAGAGCGATTTGTTGAATGACGCGTTGAAACAGAGATCATTTGCGATGCAGTAATAGTTGAAATGTATACTCATATGTTAAAAAATCATTCCCGCACATATCCTCTCTCCATATTAAATTAATCCGATTCAACTTTTATTACTCACAGTGATATAGTTTTATTGATAATTTTTTTTATAAATAATGAACGATGGCTAAAGTTTCTTGAAAGTTACTTAGGGTTACGTTCTTGACAATACGTATTAATATCAAGCTAATCGGAATTGTCTCCTATTGTGAACTTTTACCCTATATTCGCAACGCAATAGTTACAAAAACTAATTCTGAACAGAATATTATGTGTTTCTATATGAAAAATCCATAAATTATACGTTTATCGTTAAAATATGTTGGACTACCTTAATATCGCATAAAAAAAATTATTAATTTATATTCAAAGTTATTCACATTTTTCACCTATTACTTACATATTTATCACTGAGATATGCGATATACATTTCGAGGATCGCTATTAAAACAGCTTTCTAATTTGATACAAGATGCCTTATAAGTCAAATAGAACGACAGTCCACTGACGCGCGTAGGAGGCGTGAGAAATCGATCAAGCGCATTTGAAATGCGATTTTTGAACGTGAAGGACGCCTTTTATGGCTCGTTTACATAAGTCGCAACACGCAAAACGCAAATCGCAGGACGCAGAAATTGACCAGTCATAGTCGAGCATATTCGACTATGATTGGTCAATTTCTGGGGCTCGATTTCTGACGGCGTGCGAATGAGATGCGTATGCAAAAATCTATATAGGCTGCGTTCCGAAATTCACTGCCTGTACTGAAAATCTATAGTATACGTGACACAATCTATGTATTTTCAGTACTGGCAGTGAATTTCGGAACGCAGCCATTATATGTAACGTGAACTGTACATTTTCGCATACGCATCTCACTCGCACGCCGTCAGGAATCGAGCCTCTGTGTCCTGCAATCACACACTTCTATAATATAACTAAACTGCTAACTCCGACTCAATACATACCCCGAAAAGTATGTACCGTCCTGGTGTCCGACATTCACGTCTGATTGGTTGAATTAAAACACATTTCTTCTAATTGGATGGGCCATATTGCTTATATACCCCCTCTCCTTGTAGACTCCAATTCACGCATGCGCAGGTGTTTGATTCCCTTATGTAATACATACTTTTTGAGGTCAATTTTGTGCTACAATATATAAGGGAGTTAGCGGTCTAGTTATACTATAGAAGTCTGTGCCTGCAATCCGTCATTACTGCGAATCGCATGAAACATATGGGATTTGTTTTTTTAGCTGCATTGCTGAACTGGTGCAATAAGTTGGGGTGAGAAAAATATAGTTGTCTCGCTCTAACTTATTGCACCAGTTCAGCAGTGCAGCTAAAGAGAACAGACCAATGGTCGCGTTCAGCAGAAAAGACTGCTTACTAAGGCCTAGTTACACAACTTGCTTTAAACGGAGTTTAAAGCAAGTTGTAGAACTGGGCCTAAGCGCTTAGCGATTACCGTTCCTGATTGGTTCATTCCCCTAGATTTGTTAAAGATCTAAAAGTATACTTCAATCATAGATAATAATCACTTTATACAGCTGTATCTTTTACCATCTTAGAGCAAGAGCACAGGCTTTTGCATAACACATACTACATAACACATAAGAGAATAAACCAATTAGTTTTCTTCATTTCCCTTCTCAGGACAGAAATGAAGAACTCTGATTGGTTGGTTCTCTTATGCGTTGTGTATTATACATTATGCAGAAGTCTATGCTCTGGCCCTTACAATACTTTTATGCTTTTCTCTCTTCTATCAAGTGTCAAACCTATATTAAGCCAGCGGCACACGGTGCTTGTTTTCGTGCTGGATTGCTTGCTGGATGAAAATACTGCGTTCTGATTGGTGCATTTCCATCCATCATTGGAAAAGTACGAATCAAAACGCAGTATTTTCATCCAGCAAGCAACCCAGCACGAAAACAAGCATCGTGTGCCGCTGGCTTTACACTTTGTTTTAAGTACAGATAGTGCAACTTGGTGTAACTATAAAGGTCATTCTACAATACGTGTCGTAAGTGTAAGCCGTAAGAACTGACCAATTATAGCCGATTATTTTTATAATAATCGACTGTGATTCGTTAATTCTTACGACTTACACTTACGACACGTATTGTAGAATGACCTTAAAGGGCAGATCTATAACGATCATACATATATTTCACTATAATCATTACAGAATAAGGCCCAGTTCCACAAGTTGCTTTAAACGGAGTTTAAAGCAAGTTGTGGAACTGGGCCTAACAGATTGTATCAGTACAAATTGCAAAAATAAAAAGTAATAAATAGTATGGAAGGAAAAATAAGAAAAAGAGAACAAATAAAAGGAGGAAGAGAAAGAGGGGGGAGACAGCAGGGGATGAAACTGGAAGAATCGAAAGAAAAAAAAAAAAGCGAGAAAGAATAGCAAGAAAGAAAATGACGAGGGAGGAGAGCAAATGAACGTAGAATAAATTTTGGAGCACGGCCTGAGGCTGAGTGCTGAAAAGTTATAGTTTGAGTGACACAAACCATGTATTTTCTGTACTGGCAGTGAGTTTTGGAACACGGCCATAATTGTCGAGCGCGCGAAACAGAACATATCTTAGAACACACCGTCCTCATTGCGCGACGTTCCCCGATCACCCATTTCGCATTCATTTACGAACGTTGGAGGAGCTTCTTCGTGTGAGTCTGTTCCTGGTCAGTCTGTACGTCTGTTTCGCTCGATTACAGTGGTGAAAGAGGAGACAAATAAAATCTAATACAAACGAAGAGAGTTTCGTACTGTTTGAAGGAGCACTGTGCAGCGAGGATAACGGCGATCATCGTTACGTGATTGAGCGTGTTATGCATGATACTGCATATTGACGTTACACGACATAGCGGATTGCACGAGTCGGAATGCAGTTGTCGAGATAGATCGGAATAGGTGGGAACAAGTTGCAACCGGCCGAAAGAGGGAAGAACGGTGGGAGCTTACGCGGACGTGTGAGATTCAGCTGTAACAGACACACGGCAACAGCGTGCCGGCATCGTACATTGATCTACGCGAGGACGGAGATTGGTTATTGAAAAAATGGCGGCCGAGGCTCCGATGCTAAATAAGAACCGAATGATGGTGTTTAAGAACAAAGGCAAGGATCAAGAGGTGAGTGAAACGGGCTACCGTTCACAGGCGAGGTCTGGGAAGCGACTTTCGTCGCGCTGGACGGATGGACGAGTCATGTCGTCGAGACCGAGCACGTTCTAGAACTCTCTTAACGTGCAAATGTCGTTTTTCTCGTGCGTGCGTGCGTACGTGCGTGCATGCGGACACGCCGAACCATGCTCTTCTCTCATTTATTCTACGTTCATTTGCTCTCCTCCCTCGTCATTTCCTTTCTTGCTATTCATTCTCGCTTTTTTTTCTTTCGATTCTTCTAGTTTCATCCCCTGCTGTCTTCCCCCTCTTTCTCTTCCTCTCCCTTCCTCTTCCTCTTCCTGCTTTTATTTGTTCTCTTTTTCTTATTTTTCCTTCCATACTATTTATTACTTTTTAATTTTTGCAATTTGTACTGATACAATCTGCTATTCTGTAATGATTATAGTGAAATATATGTATGATCGTTATAGATCTGTCCTTTATAGCTACACCAAGTTGCACTATCTGTACTTAAAACAAAGTGTAATATAGATTTGACACTTGATAGAAGAGAAAAGCATAGAAGTATTGTAAGATGATAAAAGATACAGCTGTATAAAGAACAGACTAGATGTTATAACTTTATAAGGTAGTTCTTCTAGAAGAAAATTTTGTTACGTTATATATTACATTCAATTAGCATTCTTGATCGTTTCCTTCTTTGGAAGAACCTAGCAAATTAATTATACATGTATCTATGTGAAGTTACAGAATCCTCTAATTCTAAATATTTTTCTCATATCTATACCATTTGTGTAAAACATAATTACAGATTCATCCATGCTATTAATTCTGTTAATTACATAAATTTGATTTTTATGTTCCGCAACTAATAAACTCACATAATATCTTAGAATTGGTATATATGACATAAACAAAGTTTCACTTGCTTATTTGAATTACTTTCATCTCGACTGACATATTACAATTCTGATATCAAATAATATTGTAGTACAAAATAATACATCATTATTGATTATTTCAGGAGATGAGAAGAAGACGCAATGAAGTGACTGTAGAATTACGTAAAAATAAGCGTGAAGAGACTTTACAAAAACGAAGAAATGTGCCTATCACAGATTCAACAGGTAAAATATCTAAAAATAAGTTTTGATATAATTTTGTTATATATTTATATATGATAGCTTTAATATATATTAAATTAGATTGGATTTTCATAATACTTAGCAGAATATTTTTAACATAAATTCTTTGATTTTAGTCAAATACCAAATGATTATGTGAATTATAGTTTACAAATGTAATTCTAATTTCTTTTTTATATAGATGAAGATGATATTGATAAACATCTTGCAAAAATCAGTTTGGAAGAATTAGTAGCAAAGGCTGCTAGTTCAGATCCAACAGAACAATTACAAGCTGTACAATCAGCAAGAAAATTATTGTCATCAGATCGTAATCCACCTATTGATCCCTTGATAGAGAGTGGTATTTTACCAATTTTAGTTGGATGTCTGGAACAGCATAACAGGTATGAACAAATATGTACAGATATGAACAAATAAATAAATTGATAGATTAGATGCATTCAAAGTAATAACAAATAAAATTAATAAAAAAGGTCTGATTAAAAAAAAATATGCTGTAATTAAGAATCTTGTGCAAAAGTTCTTAAAAAGTATTTGTCAATGATAAGTTTAATACTGTATACATTATATGTAATATTAATGTTTTTAGCCCATCTTTACAATTTGAAGCAGCCTGGGCTTTAACAAATATTGCAAGTGGAACTTCAGCCCAAACGCAAGCTGTGGTAGCAGCTGGTGCTGTACCGCTGTTTTTACATTTGTTGCTTTCAAGTCAGCAGAACGTCTGTGAGCAGGCAGTATGGGCCCTAGGTATGGCACTTGATTATTATATTATTATATAAATCTTTTTTTATAAATTTATAAATTGCTCAACTTGTAACACACATACACACACACACACACACACACATGCAAGTCATTCCTTTTTTTTTTCCAAAATATATTATTTGCTAAAGCTGTTAACCCATCTAAAAATGAATTATTTTTGTAATTTACATCTTTATTTCTTTATAGGTAACATTATAGGAGATGGCCCAGTACCAAGAGATTATGTCATTAATCTTGGTGTTGTGCAGCCATTGCTAACGTTTATTAAACCAGATATACCTATTACATTTTTACGTAATGTTACCTGGGTCATTGTAAACTTATGTAGGAATAAAGACCCACCACCACCAGTTCAAACTATAAAGGACATTTTGCCTGCCCTAAATGCGCTTATTCATCATCAAGATATCAATGTGAGTATTACATTGTACAAATAAAATCCTTGATCATTCTATCATATGGATTGATAATCTAATAAAATTTTATTTGACAGATTCTTGTTGATACAGTATGGGCATTGAGCTATCTCACCGACGGTGGTAACGAGCAAATTCAAATGGTCATTGATAGTGGAGTTGTACCTCGTTTAATACCGCTCCTCTCGCACAAAGAAGTCAAGGTGCAAACTGCTGCGCTCAGAGCAGTTGGCAATATCGTGACTGGCACAGATGAACAAACGCAGACCGTTTTAAACTGTGATGCACTTTCGCATTTTCCTAATTTATTGACTCACCCCAAGGAAAAAATATGCAAGGAAGCAGTATGGTTCCTCTCGAACATCACGGCTGGCAATCAATCGCAAGTTCAAGCTGTTATAGACGCTGCGTTATTACCACTTATTATTCGTAATTTAGCAAAGGTAAGATTAATTATATAGTTAACTTTATAAACATAATATATTAAATTACCTATAATATAATTATATAAAACTAGACTATTCTGTTGATGAAAAGTCTATATAATATACAAACATTTTTTATTTTCTCAAATTCAATACAAAAAAAATATGTGTGTAATTTTTGAAAGAAATCATTTATGTGTGTAATTTTTTATCTAATACAAAGTTTTATATTTTATGTATTTTTTATGTATATTTTATGTATTATATTTTATGTATTGTTACATGCAGTACAATTTATGTTACTTTTGTAGGGAGAATTTCAAACACAGAAAGAAGCTGCATGGGCAATTAGCAATCTTACAGTAAGTGGTAATAGAGATCAAGTTGCACGGCTCATACAAGAAGGCGTAATCGGTCCCTTTTGCGATCTTCTGTCGTGTAAAGATACTCAAGTTGTACAGGTGGTGTTAGATGGAATACATAATATGCTTAAACTTGCGGGTCAACAGGTTGAGCAATTGGCAAATATGATCGAGGAGTGCGCCGGTTAGTATACTTTATCATCAATATTTTATCAAACATCCATCTCTTTATATTCTTCACAGGTACACGTACATTTATAAGAAAAAAAATTGAAAAATAAGTAAAAGCAACGAGTATGTACTTATATAATAATTACATTTACATTTTTACAGGTTTGGATAAGATTGAATCACTGCAAAATCATGAAAATGTAGATATCTACAAGTTAGCTTACGATATCATCGAGCAATACTTTTCGGAGGAGGTAAGAATAGCATTTTTTTACATGATCCATTAAAAGAACCATATAACTTTTCAATATATAATTATGTGTTTAAAACATTGGAATCATGTTTTAAACGCATAGCAGACACTAAATGAAAAAGATATATTTAGTGTTCATTATATATCCTGAATAAAAAGTCTTGAGGTGGGAAGCATCAGGAGATTTCTGATCTATCATTCCTGATCTGACTCTATTATTCTCTTCGTTCCGTTCGTTTCTAATAATAACGGTATGTATTTTGTCGTTATACATAATTATCGTTTTCAGGCTGACGATACGAATTTGGCACCACAAGTCGGAGAAGGAGCTTTCGAATTTGATCAGACGACGAGTATTCCGAGCGAAGGTTTTAAATTCTGAGAGGGCCTCCATTACTTCTTATCCGATCGTGCCGTCCCCCGACGAACTCCAATGTGGAGCCATTCTGCTTTCCCTTTGCTATTTCTACATCCACCTTTTGCTCCAGTAAAAGCATAGCAATATGACTTCATCTGTCTTGCGAATTACTACTGTAATAAACGATTATTATTATTATAGTAATAATACGGAGGATTATATTATTGCTTTTGCTGATCTAAAACATACAGCGTGACTTATCGATTTTTTCATATTCGGGATATAAGAATGGAGTTTAAAAAGTCTATTACGAAACGAAGAATCCGTAACCAAACACATCTGTGTATTTTGATTTCTATTTTTCTTTCCGACTTTCTCCATATAATGTGTATGTTATACTTTTTTTTTTATTATACATGATAAATGTATTAGTGAAGTTTTTAGTCAAACGCAGTTGCAGAACATAACATGTGCGCGCGTGTGTGCAGATAAATTATTCTAGTAAAATTAATTAGCTGCTCTGCATGGATTGAAACGCGAAACGAAACAGAAGGATCTTTCTAATTGCTTGATCTTGTTGCTCTCCACTCTAACTCAGGATGAGTCTTGGTTAGCGCGCGATATTACTTTTATAAAATAATTCGTGTATATTTTTTAGGCATGTTAAATTTATAATGATATTGATTACTAAATAAAAAATCAATTGACTACTCTTTACTAGCATAATTGATAATTGTGGACATTCTGTAAGGAGCCAGACAACCAATAAAATACCAACGGAAACTCGACAAGACTTTAACTATCAGTAGGTAGTTTTATTTCGACGTAATGATAATTTATATTATATGTAAGACGGAATATATATTACACGAGATTAAAAAATCGAATGTGCCTGCGGTATATCCTTGCTCTCTCTTTCTCTCTCTCTCTTTCTCTCTTCCCTTCTCTAAGATATTAGGTGTTCCGGTTAGTTTTGAAAGTTTAATATAGCTACAAATCTACTAGAGATATTTTAAAAGTTGGTACGCCATTTTAAAGCTTGAACATTTCTACAAATAATTTGACACATGGCATGTGCATAATTATGCTTTTTATGCGATTCGTGAACATAATTATGCTTTTTATGCGATTGAAAATGGAGCATAGTAAAGAGCATTTTCGACATTACTTTATTTTTCCGATTCGAAGAAAACAGCTGCTGAAGTCCACCTATTCATCTCAGAAACTTATTCTGACTTTTCTCCATCGGTCTAAACACGCGAGTACTGGTATCGGCGATTTCGGCCTGGTGATTTCGATTTGAAAGACAAAGAACGTTCAGGTCAAAAAAGTCAACCAGAAAAGGTTGAAGATGCCGAATTACAGACATTATTGAATGAAAACCCAGCTCAAATGCTTCAAGAATTAGCTGAAGCATTAAATGTTGGTAAATCAACCGTTTCAGATCGTTTGTATGCAACGGGGAGGATTTAAAAAGAAGTGGATGTGGATGTGGATGCAAATATAGAGAAACGCAGAAAAGCGCAATAAAACGCAGAAAAATAAAGGAAAACGATGAGAAACGCAAAAAGACGAAAAAAAAACGATGTGGATGTGGATGCGAATACAGAGAAACGCAGAAAAACGCTGAAAACGCAGAAAAACGTAAAAAAATGCAAAAAAACTGAGTAACGCAAAAGGACGAAAAAAACGGATGTGGATGCGAATTTTTTATATAATAAGACAGATATTATTATATATGTATGCATTATGTTGTCCTATAAAAAAATAGTATATTATAGAAATATAAAATATAGTAATACATATTATAAAAAAAAAGTTAGCACTGGGAGGACTTGAATACTTCTCGGATACAGACGACAAAATACTAGCGCGCGCCTTAGCTACTGCGCTTCATGCTTATTGAGTTCAAGTTACTATACTTAACATGTAACTGTTTTTTTAATTGCAAATTTCTCGCAAACAAAGGCCCATACATGCAAACCTTTTTAGGGTTTTAAATACTCAACTCTCCCATTCGATTGAAATGACTCATTTAATTATCGATTTTACATGTCTTGCCATCTCCTTATCAGTTGAATCTCTCTTTCAGCATCAAAAGGAATGTGCACTCAACTGAGTTATGACGTCACAAATGCGATTTATCTAAGTTTTGATGTAAATGGAAAGCAACTAGTATTCCAAAGTTTCAAGCAAATCAGTAAGGAAGCCCACCTCTTTCAAAATTACTGAAGAAATTGTGTTATCTTCAGTTAGCTATTCGCTGCATAAAAAAAGTCGTGTTTTTGGCAGCCATTCTAAATAACAGTATTTAGGTACTGACAGCAATTTACCTCGACTTGAAATATCAATACAAAAAATTAAAAAATAAATTGTTATAAGCATTATATAATTTGCTTTAACTTTCCTTTATATACCATGTTTTGCATCATTCCTCATACTAACAATATATCCGCTTATATTATAAAATAAAATACTTGTTACAAATTGACAATAAATGGCATATTTTTGTTCTAAGCATTTGTAGAAAAATTGGGGACTATTAATAATCTTTAGAAATATTTTGGATATATTAATTTCACATTGCTTTCTACTATATTTTCTTTTTTTATCTTTTAATTGTATACAATATAATTTTATATAATCTTACTCTAATTTTAACCTTTATCATTTTAAATGTTTAACGTGACCGGCAACTCTAACTTATCCTTGGCATATGCTTGTTTACAAGATTTGAAATGTCAATTTTAAAGTTTGATTAATAGATCGTAATGTGATCATATATACAGAAATCGGATAGTAAAAGAAAATAATCCAGCATACATCAAAAAGAAATCTGAGAGTAGCCACTCTAATATTTTGCTTTGATACTGTTTTACCAGGTGTGTCATATTTGTAAAATTGTACATATATAATATTAATATTTAATAATATGTTAATCATATGAGAAGTTATATATTATTTATGTATATATTATATTTATATCATGGCATGCTATCATCTAATGAATGATTTATGCCATTGCTGTCATTTTCAATCATATCCTGCAATAAAATATAGAATATATAGTAATTATAAGACAATAAATGCTGCACATTAAATATTAATGCTACATCTAAATATTACCTCCAGTACTGCAATAAGTGCCCTTGATTCTTTTAACATCTCCTCCTGCACAAGTTTTTCTGCTTTCAATTTTTCACTTTGTTCTTTTAGTTTATTTACTTCATCTTGTTTTTCTTGTATGCGATCTTTCAGTGTCTTAATTTCATCAAATGCATCATCAAGCGCTATTTGCCGTCTTTCAGCCAAGACTTCCCAATAGTTCTGACTTGGACCAGCTATAAACAAAAAATAAGAAATAAACATTTTCATCATTTAAAATAATTTAAAATGTCTTATCATATATATAAAAGATAAAAATAGCTAGAAAAAATATATTAATAATACCTGTAGATGTTAAATCCTCAACTTCAATTTTTATCTTTTCTCCCCGAGCAGTCTGTACAGCTTTGTCTTGAAATGTAATCTTTTTAGATTTAATTGAAAGATTAGATTTTGTTCTGCTTAAAGTAACACTGAAATGTTATATTAATATTTAGTCAATTTATCACAATAGACTTACATAATAGTCTTTTAAAATCAACTTACTTTTCAGTCTTTGCTTCTTTACTCTGTTTAGCAGACCTGAGAATTCTACCAGCAGCAACCAGGTTTTCTTTATCTGTGGCTGATGGCTGCAACATGTGCAATGATTCTCTAATCTTATCCTGTTTTAATAAAAGAAAATAATCATAAATATCTAATATATTTATTTTCTACAAAAGTGACATTATCATTTTTTTCTATTAATTAATTAATTAGTTTATCTCTGTTATTTTTCTTAGAAAGTAATTTAATATATAAAACAAACTTGTAATTTCTTGCTATGATATCACACCTTGAAATATCTTATTTATACTTAAAAAAGTAACAAGAATAATATCTCTGTTTGCAATAATAAATAAGTGAGAAAAACGGTAAAATCGAGAGTAAAAGAATTTATTGCGCAAATCCTGTTGCATTAGAGAAGTAGGCACATGAATTTGAAGTTTACAAGTGATTGAGGCTAGATAATTGAGGCTTATCAAACAGAAATGTTACAACGTCGTGTGTATACATTTCTCATATCAGAAGAAATGAGTATACTAACCTCAGCAGTGGTGTTCTCTTTGGCGGTAGATCCTGATACCTTCATCTTTCTGGCTATAAATGATCAAAGAAAGAATATTCACACTTTACATATATCATAGAAAAGACTGAAAAAGTCTGAAAGCGCGGCTATGCCGGTATTTTGATTAAACCGTTTCTTATAGAGAGAAGCTTGAGAGCGGCTGCTGATTCGGATTTCAAGAAACGCTTTTTTCGACGCGCCCTCTGAGAAAGTGTATGTGAACTACGCTCGCCCCAATGGTTCATGCAATGAGCTATCCATAATTCAAATATTAAAAAGTATTTCGAGACCATGCAGACTATACTTCTAGCAATAACGCTAACGGGTGGCCATTTTTATATTTAATTTTATAATTTGCATACTCGGTTATGAACATACATATACATGCATACATTATTAAATTTTACTTGTTATTAATATTAAGTTTTTTATTTATATTTAACCGTTTTATCTAATTCATTTTAATCTTCGAGAAATTAATTATTAAATTTAATTCTAGCGACTCATCGAAAAGGTTTGAATCTTGGCTAAGCGAGCGATACATATTGATTAAAGAAGGTTCGGGTCTTGAGTAATTTTGAATTTAATTCCCAAGTCTCCGCTATGAGCCGCCACCATACTTATTGAACAATCTCTTCTATTTTGTAAGTAATAAAAGTTGCTGTTTCCAAATTCGATAAACGTTAATTGTATAAGATTATTTAACAATTTAATTATGTGTAATTCGACTCTCGTTTATGTGATCCTGTGTGTGTAACTATAAACTTCCTCGAAAGTTTCGGTAATTATGCTCAAATATTGACGTATTTTAAATTATTTTCGTGTATAGTGCCATAAAAAATAAGAAAACTTTGCATTTATTAATATATATGAAAATTATATAATTCAAGCTATAAAGTACTTTTTGAACGACTTTGCTATCGTTTTTGTTGAGAATATCTGTTGAATTTTCCTTTCTATTGATCGTGAGAAATGAGATTTTATATTGTAATTACATTTATTATATATTTTAAAAAAAATTACGTCGAATTAGGCGTGAACATACAAAATTATATAATTGTAACGCTAACATCGATTCTAATTAATATATCTTTTGAAATTCATACTATATATGATACGAATTTCTCGACCATCTTTCGTTCGTATCTGCGTGGTGAATGAACTTAACCTTAATTTTAATCCAGTAGGTCTGATAATCAGGCACGGTAAAATGTGTTTGAAGACATCGTGACAACAGAAATATAAGACGAAATGGGCGGAGAACGCTTTGTTTAAGTCAAGAAGAAAAAACAACTTCAGAGAGAGAGAATATAGTAAATATATCATATGTTAATGTTATTATACTGATCTGTGAATTACAACGCAACGATAGATAACAGTAGATAACGTTGCGTAGACAATTCAATAATATCTAAATACGGACGTTTATTTTTTAGAATTTAATTAAACAACAGATTGAATGTACTTCTGCTTCCATCTATACTAATAAAAGGTCAAAGGTCCATCTAAGCCAACGTTCAATTATATGAGTCAAGAATGAAAATTTGCACAGAACAGGTTAGCTTTCGAAACAATTGAAATAAAGTACAAATGTCGTATATTTTTATACTTCCCAGAAAAGACACATGGTAACGTGTTAATGATGTTACTGATGTCATTGATACATCATCAATACGTCATTGTGTGTACTGGGTTACGTATCATAGTGTCGTAATATCATGTTAACATATATCGTACTTATTCTCTTTACAGTGTTCTACACAGGCAGAATATCACTGGTCGGGAGAATCGCACGGGTCCGAGTAAGTAGAATCATTTTTCTTTGATGTAAAGCATATGTCGGCGTTTTTCATCGCGGTCGGTACGAAGCCAAAAGCTGCTGAGATTCGAATGTCAGACGAGCCCCTCGTCTTGACAAAGCGTCTGTGTTTGCTGCGTATTCTACAGAAGGCACTTATGTTGACGCGTCAGGTCAACCGATGATATAATCAGCTTGTTTCCGCTCTCTCGCGTACGACACAAGTACGTAAGAATGCTCAATCAGCATGTAGAGATCAGGTGAATTTGATATTTTATACACACGCACATATAAAGAGTTTCTGACATAGGCGTTAATTAAATTTAAAAACTAATTGAATTTAAAAATGTTGTTTAAACGTCCTGATTAAAGTTTATTTTAGACATGCGAAACTTTATATATATATATATAATAATAATTATTATTATTATTTTTTTTATATAATATATTGTGACGATCATTGTCGTGACGCGATAAAATTGAACCGCCGTGTGACGCGAAGCCCGAACAGGTGAATGGTCGCGGGAAGGCACGAATGATGAACGTGGCGGGGGTGTAGGAGACCGATAGGATACGGGCGTCGGATGGTGTTGGATCTCTTGACGGGTGCATCGATGTCCACTGGCTCCCAAGGGAAATCCACTTCATGATGGGAATCCCATTATTTCCCGAGCGATATAAAAGTAGGTAGTCCAGTCGTCCACGTGCTGTCCAGTTGAGGCTATTCCGACGGCCGTCCTCCATCCTCCCACGCCACATTGAGGCTCTCTTTTTCTCCGTTTCGCTCTTCCTTCTCTTTTTTCCTGTCTGCCCCCGTTCTCCCCGTTTCTCTCCCTCTCTCTCTCTCTCTCTCTCTCTCTCTCTCTCTCTCTCTCTCTCTCTCTCTCTCTCTCTCTCTCTCTCTCTCTCTCTCTCTCTCTTCCTTTCCTCTTACACCATTACCATTGTCTCCTCTCGTTCGCGCCCACTGTTCTCCGTCCATTCGCAATCCATTTGATTCCGGGCCTGTCCCCCGAAGGCGACGCTTCGACTATGCGAAGGACCATTTTTAGTTTAGATTAATACCGTGTACCATCCCCGAGATTCTGGGGGCCGGGCCGTGCGCGAGCTGATAAACGGGTTCTCACCGTTTCCTGCAACATTCGATGCGCGCGTCCTGGCGGTCGGGCTCGCGATCGAATCGAGTTCCTCGAGAATCCACATTACGTTGGAATACATGAACGATTATAATTTACATGACACATGTAAAAATGATATTTCTCAAAATATGGTTCGCGTAACAACTCGGGAGGGTGTGCGCAGTTTCTCGAAACAATTCGATGCTGAATACTCGAGGCGTCGACGTTGGCCATAAGACGTTGGCGAGCCGCGTTTGCGTCGTAAGAATCAAAACGCGATGCGCATGGATTTCGCGAAAATGACGTCTCTCGATTCAATTCGAGGGGGCATTCGGCCGATAGGCGATAGATGTAGGTTCCGTTACGTTGCCGTGGAAGGGCGACTTGATAAAGAATTCCATCCCGGGGTCGGGAACGGTCGTGCAAGGTGTGCGGGCAGTATAAAATAAATATGTGAGACGCAGGGGGTGGCACTCCAGAAAAGATGGACGCCTGGAGAGAGGGCGTGAGTGCTCGACGCTGCCTCCGTGCCGGGGAAAGAGCGGAGAACGGGCTAGGTTGGGTGGACCGTGTGTAGAGATCGGCTGCAGGACTCGTGTGTGTTGCTGGGTAATTGATTTCTTTGATACCACCCGCGCCAAAGGAACATTGTAGATGCTTGCCTGCGTACGTACTACGTAGAGCTCTCTCGTAGAAAGGGACGGACGCTCCTCTCTCTTTTTCTCTCTCTCTCTCTCACACACACACACACATATATATATATATACACACATACTCTCCTGCTCTTCTTCTTCTCTCTTTCTCTCTCTCTCTCTCTCTCTCTCTCTCTCATTCTCTCTCGCCGCTTCACCCTCGTAGGAGTCGCCGCTAGGTGAAGGGGGTGAAGGAGGGGGAGAATCCTCCCCAGGATATAGAATGTAAGAAGGGGGTAGATTCGAGGACGGTGGCGGATCCACCGTCCTTCGGATCGATGGATATCTCTGCGCTGGACAAGACCCCCAGCCTCCACCCAGCCCTACCCTTCCATCTTCCCCCCAAGGATGACCAATAACAAACACCGTCGCTTTTCTCTCTCTAATGGAGTTTTTACCGATAAAAAATTCACTCCCTTTTCTCCTTTTTCCCGCGGACGGCTCCTACCCGTTTCCTCCTCCTCCTCCTCCTCCTCCTTCTCCACCTCCTCCTTCTCTTCCTCCACCTCCTCTACCAGTACACTCACCACCGACACGAGCACACTTACGTTCCCATTCGTCCGACTGACGGACCACCACCGCCACCACCATCACCACTCTGTATGGCACCTTCCGAGCGCTGCCTATGGAACGACACTTTCTTCGCGACATCTCCGAGTTACGACGTGGCCGTCGCATTTGACTGAGGACACTGCGAGAGCAGAGTATCGTCACAGGGGAGAGGGATGAAACGCGCTGCTCCGTAACGGGGAAGGCGCTTCTGACGATTGTATTGTAGATGCTGACGGCAACGAACGTGAGAGCTGACGGGGATATTACTTAAGTGCACACCGCTGATCATTTATAGTTTTTTCCTCACGAGTTGCTTAACTCGACGTTTATATCTGTGCATAGTATTCGAATGTAGACACATGCATCTACCTTATGACATTCTGTCGTGCTTGTGACGACTGTTATAAGTTATTAAATGCAATCACCCAAAAAAAAAAAGTAATTTCAGAACAAGCGGAATCACATCTAAATTTTAGAGGATTTTATTCATATATATAGCCTCAGGAGGATTCCTCCAAGATTAAGAGAAAAATATTACAAACACATTATTCTTAAAGTTAGAGGGATTGCATGTTATATATATATAATGCAAATCTTATTGATTTTAATATAAATTTCCTCTTATACATAGATTATTTAATCTTTCTTTAAGATGACTATTATTTATTCTTACTGTACTTTATTCTTACTGGTTATACTGGTTAATTTGAAAAAATTATTATAATATATAGCGAAAAGTAATATACATATATAGAAGTAATATACATATATGCACTTCTGGCTCCAGTTCTACAATAAACAGGTACGAATGAAATAAGATCATCATAACAAATAAATTTCCAATCAGTTTTGTTATGGATTTCATAGCTACAAAGGTGTTCATCATAACTAATTGTATGAAATATAGTTAAAAGAAAGAATATATTATTCAACTTGTTGCAATAGATTATGAACCGTATTTGATCAAATATGGGTAAATTATCTTCGTT